GCCACCACCTTGGTCACCAGGTAGCCGGGCTCTGCGGAGCGGGGCGCCAGCTCCACGCCGGTGGAACCATCTGTGGGGAGGGCGGGGTACAGGATCTCGGGCGCATTGTCGTTCTGGTCCAGCACGAACAGGCTTACTGATACATTGCTACTGAGTGGAGGGTTCCCGCTGTCCCGCGCCATCACCCACAGTTGCAAGTCTCTGAACTGCTCGTAATCAAAGGAGCGCAGTGCATAGAGGACTCCAGTGTCAGAGTTGATAGAGATGTAAGAGGATAAGGGTGCCCCCTGAACAGTGTCCTCCGCGAAAGAGTAAGTTACATGAGCATTGTCGTTGCTGTCGGGGTCATGGGCCGTCACTGAGAAGACAGAGGCTCCTCTGGGGTTGTTTTCAGGAATGTAGGCGGAGTAGGATGTGCGGGAGAAGGCGGGCGCGTTGTCGTTGATGTCTGCCACCTGGAGCAAAACGTGAGCATCCGTGGACAGGGAGGGGTTCCCTCCATCTTTAGCGGTTAGAGTGATGTTGTAAAAGGAAAACTGTTCCCTGTCAAGGGCTCTGGTTGTAACCAGTCGGTAGTAATCGTCCACTGACTTTTCTAACTTAAAGGGAAGATTCTCAGGGAGTGAACAGGTGATGAATGCATTCTGCCCAGAGTCTCTATCATGTACATTAAAAAGCCCAATTACGGTTCCTGGAGGAGAGTCTTCAGAAACTGAGCTAGTAGCAGATGTCATGTAAAATTCTGGGGCATTGTCATTCACGTCCAGAACCGTAATGATAACCTTCGTTCTGGTTAGAAGGCCCGGACCATCCTGAGCTTCAATATCAATTTCATGGAATGTAGCATCCTCATAATCTAGATCTTTTATGATTGTCAGATCTCCAGATGTTGACTTAAGCTCAAATACCTCTGAGGTTTCTCCAGGGCTTTTCTCTAGAAAATATGCCACTTGAGCGTTGTAGCCCTCATCTGCGTCAGTGGCGGTCACCGTGAGTATCCTGGTGTCCACGGGCGTATTCTCGGGAACGCTTATGCGGTACTCGGGCTGTGTAAAAACAGGCGCGTTGTCGTTCACATCCAGGACCTTCACGCAGATGCGGGAGGTGCCAGATAGCACTGGGTCACCCCCATCAGAAGCCACGAGAACGAGGTGGTGAACAGCCTCTTCCTCGCGGTCCAGAGCGCGCTCCAGCACCAGTTCTGGGTACTTGTTCCCATCAACTCCGCTTCGCACGTCCAGGGAGAAGTGATCATTTAGGTTGAGTGCGTACTTCTGAAGGGCGTTCTCACCTACGTCCGCATCATGCGCATTCTTAAGAGGAATCCGGAATCCTGGCGTAGTGGTTTCACTGATTTTTAGCTCCAGTTCCTCTACTCCAAAGCGAGGGGCATTATCGTTAATATCTGTTATTTCCACCTCTACTGAATAAATAGTCAATTTGTCCTCCAGCAGGATGTTAAAATTCAACAGACACGGTGCGCTCTGAGCGCAGAGCTCCTCCCGGTCTATCCTGCTCGCAGTGACCAAGCTGCCGCTTCGCGGGTTCAGAGCAAAGAGCTGGGTCCTACCTCTGGAGACGATGCGGACTCCCCGCTCTGCCAGTGCCAGGGGCTCCAAACCCAAGTCCTTGGCGATGTTGCCTACGAAGGAGCCTCTGTCGATCTCTTCCGGCACAGAATAGCGAATCTGCCCAGCCCTGGCCTCCCACAGGGTCGCCAAAAGGAAGCACAGCAGGACCAGCTTTCTGCAGTGTGGCAACTTTTGCAGAGCTGCCATTTCCTTCCTGTCGCAGTTTTCTCCGAGTCAACTTCCAGCATTCAGTGCGGATTCCAATCTTTATTCCTCAGGCTGTGAGATGACCAGCATTTACAGGACCCAGGTCCCTATGGAGACAAATGGTGGGCTGTTCGACTGAATTTCTTTGGTGCCCTGAAGCTTTAGGGCCAAACCTCCAGCCTCTTGTGCTGTGGGAGACGTGTTGCTGGATTGGATGGCTTTGCTGCTTTTTACTCCTTAGGTGGTCAACAGCGACGCTCAGAGGCCTAAATAATTTCTGCACCTGCTCAGGAAAACCTAAGTTACTTCTTGTTTGTTTGCCTTTGTTGACTTTCAAGGTGATTTAAAGAATCTTACAGCTCTAAGATACCCTAGAATTAGATCTTTCAAAACAGGAATCTTTTTTATCAGGATTAATAAGACTGGTATAAATGAATATGACCTTCAGAATAGTTGCTAGGAAAGTATTATTGACTGCTCAAGGCATTAATCAATGCCACCACTGCTCTTGCTACAAACATCTTCCATCTCTTATTGTATAATCAGAAGCAGTAAGATCAATTAAGAAACGTTAGCTACATTTTCTTCTAAGGTTATATATTTTGAACTTTTGTGGTTGATGGCTTAGCATTTACCTTCAAAATCTGCCTTTAAATTATTGAATCATCAGACACTTAGTTGGGTACATGTGCCTCCCACTTTGCATGACTGGAGCTGGAGATAGAAATGGTGAACATGATAAACACAGGCCCTGGTCTCAAGCATGAAGGTTGGAGGAGGACATAAGAAAGTAAAGAGAGTGTAACAGAGTAATGAGAGTGATAAAGAGAGTGTAACTGCCATGATATGAGGTAGGAAACACTGGGTGATGGAGGAATACCTAGGAAGGGTATCCAGTCTAGATTTGGGGTCAGAAAAGTCTTTTTGAGGGCATGATTGAAGCTGAATCCTAAAAAGTAGGATTGAATCAAGAAAAAGGCTGAAGAATTGTTCTAGAACCTCAGAATAAATGCTTCAAGGTGAGAGACAGCATGGAACATTACAGAAATGGAAAGCAGATCTATTTGATAAAGCTAGAGCTGGAAGGGGTTTTTGGAATCAGTCACTCAAAATTGTTTGAGGTTGTCAAGTTCTTTTTCTGATATTCATTTTCCAAGGGTGTAAAATACAATGCAGTGGATGTCTTCTTACTCCTGTTTTATCTTTATCATTTTGACCATTGTCAAGCATACAATTCTGTGACATTAAGTACATTCAAATTACATTCTGGTGTGATCATTATCACCATCCACCTCCAGAACTTTTTCATCCTCCCCAACTGAAACTCTGTACTTATTAAATAGTAACTCCCCATTGCCTTTCACCCAGTCCCTGGCAGCTACCATTCTACCTTTTGCTCTATGAGTTTGACTAATCTAGGAACTTCATATATGAGGAATTGTATAGTATTTGTCATTTTTTGACAGGTTTATTTCACTTGACAACATGTCTTTGAAGTTCGTCCATATTGTAGCATGTAACAGAATTCCCTTCCTTTTTAAGGCTGAATAATAGTCCATTGTATTTGTGAACCACTTTTTGTTTACCCATTCATCTGTCAATGGACACTTGGGTTACTTCCACTTTTCAACTATTGTGACTAATGCTGCCATAAACATAGGTGTACAAATATCTGTTGAAGTCCCTACTTTCACTTCTTTTGGGTAATAACCAGAGTGGAATTGCTGGATTATATGGTAATCCTATGTTTAAATTTTTGAGGAATCACCATACCATTTTCCACAGCAATTGTATCATTTTATATTCACCAGCAATGCACAAGAATTCCAATTTCTCCATATTCTTGTTAACACTTATTTTCTTTTCTTTTATGACAGCAATTCTAATGAATGTGAAGTAGTATCTCATTACGGTTTTGATTTGCATTTCCCTAATGACTAGTGATGTTGAACATATGACTAGTGATGTTGAACATCTTTTCATATGGTTTTGGCCATTTGTATATCATCTTTGGAGAAATGCCTATTCAAGTCCTTTGCTCATTTTAACATCCAATTGTTTGGGAGGTTTTGTTGTTGAATTGTGGGAGTTCTTTATTCTGGATATCCATTCTTAGATACATGATTTTGAAACATTTTCTCTCATTCTGTGGGCTGCCTTTTCACTCTATTGATATTGTTCTTTGCTGCACATAGTTTTTAATTGTGATAAAGTCCAGTATACCTTTTTTTTTCTTTTGTTGCTTGTGCTTTTGGTGTCATATCCAAGAAATCATTGCCAAAATCAATGTTATGAAGGTTTCCTCCTGTTTTCTTCTGAGAGTTGTATAGTTTTAGTTCTTAAACATTATGGCTAAAAGGGTTTTATTGTTTCTGAATATTGCTTCTTTGATCCATTTTGAATTAATTTTTATAAGTGGTATAAGTGGAATTGCCCATTTCTGGTGACCCTTTAGTCTGTTTGCCTTTTGACTCCTTCCTTGTTGAAATTTTCTCATTTTTACTTTCATCTATTCCTCTTAGAAGACTGAAGAAAAATATATTGGAAATAATTGATACCAACTCACCATGTTTTCTTGTAGAGTTACTATGGTATATCTTGCTTTGGTTTTTTTATTTTTATTTTTGTGTTTGTGTTTGTTTTGTTTTATAGAGTTTGGGTCTTGTTATACTGCCCAGGCTGGATTCAAACTCCTGGGTTCAAGCAATCCTACTGCCTCAGCCTACTCAATAGCTGGGATTATAGATATGCCATTGTGCCTGGCTCTCTTAAATGAGTCCTGACATTAGACTTGACAGAATTTTCATTTTCTCCCCACTGGTTTTACTATAACATTTTTTGTCTGCTTCTGTTACTTCATCCTCAGAATTCTTCCATGGTTGCATTTCAAAAATGTATCTCTTTGTTATTTTTTGCATCATTTTATTTTAGTATATACTCATTATGTGTTTTTTATCTTCTTGAATGGCAAGCTAAATTAATGTATTTTAAAGAATTTTGGCCAGGCGGGGTGGCTCAAACCTGTAATCCCAGCACTTTGGGAGGCCGAGACGGGCAGATCACGAGGTCAGGAGATTGAGACCATCCTGGCTAACACAGTGAAACCCTGTCTCTACTAAAAAAATACAAAAAACTAGCCGGGCGAGGTGGCAGGCACCTGTAGTCCCAGTTACTTGGGAGGCTGAGGCAGGAGAATGGCGTGAACCTGGGAGGCGGAGCTTGCAGTGAGCTGAGATCCAGCCACTGCACTCCAGCCTGGGCGACAGAGCGAGACTCCGTCTCAACAAAAAAAAAAAAAAAAAAAAAAGAATTTTGTTTTTTTTTTTCAATTATTGCATTTGTCTATAAACTTACTCCTAATTAGTTTTAGCTGCATCTCACAATTTTTAATAAATAATATTTAAATCCTTCTCTTCTGAGTAGTTGTCATTGTCATTGTGATTTTTGAAATCCAAGAGTTATTTAAGGGTGTGGATGTAAATATCCAAACTTTTTTCCCCTTTTCTATTTTTAAATGTTTGCTTTGTGATTTAAGTATGTGTTGTAAGGCAAGTATATTATTGGTACTTTGGAATTCGCTGAACCCTTTTTTGTAATGACTAGATAATAAACTTGTAGATTGTCTATCTGTTCAAGGATGACTATTCCATATTTGTTGTGTGTAGAACAGATCTATTAGAATCCTAATAGATCAACCTTATAAATTATGTTGTTTATATCTTCTGTATATTAACGAACTTTCTCCCTGTAGGGTCTATTACTTCTTATGGAATTATGTTAAAATATTCTGGTATTTTCTAAGCTACATTTTTTGGTAATAGAAGCTCATATTTTAATATTATTTTGATCATCTGTTCTTTTTACAACTATAATCAGTTCATTTTTTAAAATCACAATTTGTGTTTGTTACCTTAAATACAACTTTGTTGTTATATTAATATTAACATGACTGCTTTCTTTTTTTGCGTGCATACATATATATTTAGTTTTACTGTTTCAGTGTATTTTTATTTTAAGTATATGTATTATTAGAATATGGATTTTAAGAATCAACTAATTTTGTAATATTTGTCCTTTAATAGGTAAATGTAGCTCACTTGTATATACACAGAAAAAGTTATGATTATAAGAGCTGAGAAAGTCCAGAACTGAGATAACTTAGCTACCAATTGAGAGTATACTCTTGGTACCAAGCAAAAAATAAAAATAAAAATGCAACAGACACACAGCAAGAATGAGAGAAAGTCTTCAATGGTTATCAGAGAAAAAAACAGAGATTACCTTAAAAGATAACAGTTTGTTGACAGAAAGTTTCTTACTAGCAACAATAAATTCTACGAGACATGTGTGTTTTGAAATTTTGGTTTGTATATTTATTTTTAGTGGAAGAGCTCTGTTTATTTTCAGTTTTAGTTTGTTTTTCTTTTCTACACTATGTCCCTGTCTCCTTCCCTCCTGGGTTCAGTGCTCATTTATAATGGTTTTGAAATAAATAATTTCTATCTGACCTCAGGTCCCAGGCCATAACTGGGTCTCTTAATGACGCTTTAATGATACCCAGCAGTGATATTCTGGATACCACAGCTCACATGAGAGATACTTGGTGTTCGCTGTCTCTATCCAGCAAGTCTGTCTCTTTCTCTTGGTCTACACAGCTTACCAAGAAAGTTACAACCACAGGAATTGGGAGGCAGCTTCTATTTTTATTTATTTATTTATTTATTTACTTATTTAACATGGTGTGGCTTTGTTGCCCAGGCTGGAGTGCAGTGGCACCATCGCGGTTCGCTGAAGCCTTGACTTCCTGGGCTCAAGCGATCCCGCCACGTCAGCACCTGCCCCGGCCCGCCCCGCCCCGCCTCGCCCCGCCCCGCGTAGCTGGGACTACAGTTGCAGGCCACCGTGTCCGGCTGGTCTTGAACTCCAGGGCTCCAGGGATCTTTCCGCCTCAGCCTCTCAAATTGTTGGAAATACAGACGTGAGCCACTGCGCCCAGCTAGGCAGCATGTTCATGCATCTTTCTCTTCCTTTTTAACCAGCTGAAGGGCCTCATTGCTTGTTTTGGATTCAGGCAGTAAGCCTGGTCCAGGTCATTTATCTAGTCTGAAGCACTTCTGTCCCTATTACATTGCTGGAGGCAATTTCCTAACTTTCAATTTCTTCTTTGAAGTCCAAGACTGTAACTCACATGGCTTCAGACCAGCTAACCACTTTGCTTTTGCTTTCCTCTTATATTTTATATATCTCTGTATTTTATTGGAGCAGAGTAAATATAAAAAAGCATGGACTTACTCCCCGACCATGCTTGTTTTTTCTTCTGAAAAGTTAACACACATTAAAGTAGGATGTATACTTGATTTTTGTTAGTTGATTTCATTACAGGTATAATGTATAAGTCAGGAGGCTTCAAAGCTATTTCTCAAGTTGCACGATAAATTTTCTGTTGTTCACTTTGTTACTTTATAAACTACTTAAATAGATGTATTCTTCAGTACAGGCACCACTGCTCACACCTGTAATATCAGCACTTTGGGAGGCTGAGGTGGGAGGATCACTTAAGCCCAGGAGGTAGTGCCTGCAGTGAGCCATGATCACGCCACTGCACTCCAGCAAGACCCTGTCTCAAAACTAAAAAAAATCTGATAATAAAGATAGAATAAAGGGCTAAAATATTCAACAATAATTTAAAATTGCAGTTTATATAGATCCCTATAATCTCATATGAACGCAATTAAAAATACTACTTTAGACAATCTTCACCTCTTCAAATGTTCCCAAATAAAATATCACAGTGTCCTGACAGATGACGTCTACATTAAATTCTGGGGTAAATTAGCAGATATTTATAACAAGAAAATTTGAAAATAGTATTAGTCATTTAAATATTGGTGAGCCTTTTCTAATCAAACCCTTTAACCCAGAGGCAAGTAAGAACATGTTAGAAGCTAAATCACCCTGTTTCTAATGCAGTGCTCCTTCCAGACAGAGATGGCATCTCACACATACCTTCAACCCAACCACCTACATTATGATCACAGTCTCCTTTTCAATGCAAGAACAATTATAAATATACCTGCATATGAACGTGTAGACTCACTTAATCGTGATTTTCCAGGACTTGTAATAAAAAGCCACAAAGATACATGGGTTAGAAGAACTATCTGTAGTAAAGAATGAACGCAAGTAAGTTGAATCAAGAATTATTTTTCTCTAGATAGCTTATACATTCATCACAAAAGTTTACCTGAGAAAACGGTTCCTTTTTGTCTTCAAGTAAAGACTGGGGTGCTGATAGAAAATCCTTTTTCTCACAGCTTTCCTGGCTGATGAGCGTGTCAGCGTAGTTAGGCTGGGGGAAAATCAGGTGGCTCTTCCGAGAGTCCGCAGTGAGGGA